TTGCATAGGGTACCAGAAGCAATCGTATCAGATAGAGTTAAGGTGTTCCTCAATCATTTTTGGAGGGAGTTGTTTAGGTTATAGGGGACAGTTCTGAAGAGGAGCACCGCTTACCACCCACAGACGGATGGCCAAACGGAAGTGGTCAACAAGAGCTTGGAGACCTACTTGAGATGCTTTGTGTCGAAGGCACCCAAGCTATGGGCCAAGTGACTATCATGGGAGGAGTACTGGTACAACGCCTCTTTTCATTCTGCTTCTCAGATTATCCCATTCAAGGTGTTGTACGGAAGGGATCCTCCTCACTGGGTGCACTTTGGGAGTAGCAGTACTCTAGTTTTTTCAATGGAGGAGTACTTGGGGGAGAGGGATAAAGTGTTAGAGGAGTTAAAGAAACATCTACTGAGAGCTCGATAGATTATGAAGAGACAAGCTCCGACCATACAGATAGAAGACAATCGCCAACAGAAGAACTGAGAAGCTCGCTCCAAGATACTTTGGACCTTATATAATATTGAAAAAGATTTGAGCGGTAGCATATCAGTAAAAACTACCAGCCACGATAACTATTCATCTGATTTTCCATGTATCGCAGCTTAGAAGAGCCATTGGAGATTATACAGCCAGATCGGAGTCACTGACAACACTTACTAAGGATTTGGAGATAATTCTAAAACCCTTAAAGTTGATGGAGATTCTCCAGAAAGAAGATGGAGCTAAGAAAGTGCTAATCAAGTGGAAGAATCTTCCTGACTATGATACCATGTGCGAACCATACGAGAGGGTGAAACAACAGTTTCCTAGTTTTCACCTTGAGGACAGGTGATTCTTTGGGATGGTGGTATTGTTAGGCCGGTTCATCCTGAACTGGCCCAGCCGGCCCAGCGGCCGGCTCACGTATACAGGAGGCGGAACATGTCCGCCTCCTTTGAAGTGTGCTGCCCACATGAGTGGGTCCCACTTGGAGCAAATTAGGAAGAGAGGATTTGGCTGCTAGGATGAGAGGGAAATTTTGAATTAGGGATGTTTGAACTTTGAATTAGGAAATTATTGTATTAATAGTATGGATTGTTTAGAGCTAGGATTATGCATGATTATTGGGTTCTTTGGAGTTTTCTCTTGGTGTCTTGGGCTCTAGAACCTCTTCTAGAGATTTGGAGAGAACGATCCTCCTCTCGAATTGAGGATCAATTGTATCTTGCTTTGTGTTTGTTTTGCTTTAGATTTTCCTAATATAATCCACTGATTTTGGGTTGTTTTCATCATGTTCTTGTGTGTTTTCTCGCTGATTTTATCAATTATTGCTAGGGTTGCTTGCGAACTCAAGTATTTCCTCTTGGATTACTTGCGAACTCAAGTATTTCCTATCATGATCATAACTCAACTCTAAGAGAGCATCAACCCAATCAATTGCATCAAGAACAAGTGAGGGCTCACCATAACAAGTAGGGTTACTACCAATATTGGCATCCATATTAGTACTTTGAAAACTCCGATAACTCTACTTAAATACATAAAGAACTTGTGAATTCAAATCATGACTGACCCAAGAGAGTCAAAATTCTAAGGGATATGTTGATCAAAATAGCTCCTAGCAATTGTCTTCCTCAATTCAAAATAGGACCTAAAAAATGAATTATCATGTACAAAAATATTACAAGCCCACCAATAGGATAGAAGGCCTTCAAATTCCACCATTTGCCAAAAAACACATTAATAAAAAAAAAATCAACTGGAGAGGAATCACGAGCAGCAAGAGAAATGTAGGTTAAAGGACCATGTTCAGGGGCACCAATAACACTATCAAAAGAGGAAGGAAGAGGAGAAGCAAATAAAATAGACATGATTGAGACTAGGTGAGGATTGAGACTAGGTGAGGAGGCAAGAAAGCAGATGCATCCACACCCAAGGCACAGTGGAGAAGTCAAAATATGATGCTGGAAGAAGATAATGTGGAACCACGACGAACAAATGAACTAGAGAATAATGCACAACAACAAGAACCCTCTGACACAGACAACTTAAGAAGATAATAGGCAAGAAGAGATACTAGCCCGAGCGACGGCCCAATAGCCTGAGATAATGGGGATGGTAATTGCAGAAAATAGCAAAGCAAAAAAGATGCAAAACAACATAGAAAAAGAAGTGAGAGTCAGTGGCGAGGGAATACCGAGAACGGGTCATATAAAATAAAGCTAAGAGAAGGAGAGGCCATGAGCATAAGGAAGAAGGATGATGATCATCAAAAGGTGCTGCGATCAATGCAGGGGATAATGTTGATAAAGAGTTGAGAATGGGAAAATAGGATTGGGTTTTTTAAATGCATACACATGCCACATAGAAGAATCTCATATCTACCAATATGGTGCCAAAATTAGGGTCAAATACTATGCCCCATCCTAATCCTTGCCTTTACACTAGATTCAGAAGAAGACATGGAGGAAAGAATTACATTGATGAAAAGGTATGCTGGATAATTTTACATAAACTTTACTGATTCATCTTTAGCAACTCATGCCATCAAGATATGTATGTGGTACTGCATCAACAATCTTATTAGTGTCAGATCACAAAAAAAAAAAAAAAAAAAAAAATTTTAAAAAAAAAAAAAAAAAAAAAACTTCTATAGAAACATGTTGATTAAAGAAGTTGTAATAGCAAGTTAACCAGGTAGACTTATAAATGCATGCCAAAAACACCTATTAATGTCCAGTTGAAGAAGAAGAAACCGCACTCTATCTATATTGAGTAAGAAAGGTGAGATGCAAATCCAAAAATTGATCGAGTATGTATCACTCTTCAAGGAGGCAGAATGACTGCAATCAAAATGATCCATTGAGTAAAAAATACAATTAATTTTCTACGCACTGATGCCAAATCTATTGATTTATTGAAACTCAATAATCAAGATTGACTCAAAAATATCTAAAATGAAGAAAAAAAATGTCTTTTAAAAGAGTGATAGAGAAAGAGTTGTCACAAGTGGAGAAGCCTTAATTAGTGAAGAAAGAACTTAGATGGTCACCTTCTTTCCAATTCAAGCATAGAATAAAAACACTAATGCCATATCAATTTAGGCAAGCTTAAAAACAAGACATCATTATATAACCAAACTAAGTAGTACGCCCTATTATTTTGGACATTTGTAGGAGTGAATAGAATGATAAGAGAGTTTTAATTCAGCACGCTCCTAAAATTATGATACCCAAGCTTCATAATCTAAGACATTATCAAAATTCAAGTTTTTAAACAACCTTTAAAACTTGCTAGAAAAGACCTAAAACATCACTTGTCAAATACAATGAAGCTATATGGTTCAAAGGTTGGAAAGTTAGCTTTTCATCTAAAGTTATGATTTCATATGAGTAAATTTCTCCTGAAAAAGGGACTCAAGATCTAGGGATCAGATCTAGTAGATGAGCAATTAAATCATCGATGATCATGATTTGGACATCATATCATGAAAAGCTCAAAAGGATCATGCTCCATTAAATTTTAATGACAAGACGTCTTGATAGATTGAAAGTAGCGTTGATTTTCAAATTACTATTAGAATTGAAGATCAAGTCAATAAAAGTCTATAAGTTAAAATGGACCATCAATTTGATGTTTGATGAACAAGATCGTGAACCACAAAATTTGAACCATTATGCAATTAGGACAACAAATTGCCGACCCCACATAGTGGATAAAGGCTTGATGTTGTTGTTGTTGTATGCAATTAGGACAACAAGACAAGGAAAATTTAAACTTTGAACTTGTTTTTTGATAAGTTTGCATTTTGAATGTAAATTTGAATTTCCTTCTTTTGTGGAGTTGATTTAGAAAGGATAATATTATTTTCTAAATTGTCAAGTTAGGGATAAATTTGTTCCTTTATGAAGCCAGTTTAAGAGAAGACAAGTCGAATTAAAAATATTAGTGATGTTTTTATCAATAAATAATTTCCTTCAATAAAAAATAATTCTTACTCTCCCAAAATCTACACTTTTCTCCCTCTTCCTCTCCTAGTTAGCCACCTCTATCCCCTTAAAGAGTTGCTCTAGAGATCAAAATCTGTACTGCCAACTATTGTACAAGCTATCAGCAACTTCCTTAATGTTCCAGAGATGTTGGCCGAACTCCATTGCTGCTGCCAGGTGCCGATTGAAACCCAAAAGGAAGGAAAGCCAAGTATTGTTTGTTGTTCTGGAGTAGAACCAAGGCAAAAACAACAACAAGCTGGCCACATCGGAGCAGAGCAAAGGCAAAAATAACAACCTAATTGTTGTCCTGACAAAGAACAGAGATCACGAACAGCAAGTTGGTTGTTTCCCAGTGCAGAAGTCACAAAAAAAAAAGTCTGCAAGCTTCCATAGCAAGAAAAGTCAAAATTAGAGAGAAAACTCATCTAAAGTGTGAAACAATGCTTGAAACACCTTTAGTTTTCGTTTGGGATGGCTTTCTTATTGCTTATTAAAGCAGTAAAAAAGCCATCACATTGATCATTATAACATCTCTCAAATAATTTCTAAAACCTTTCCTAACCTTTTATTGTGGACTCGTTTCATAACGTTAAGAGTTTGACTAAATACCATTCATTGCTAGACGTGCTCAGCCATATATTTTATTTCGGCAACTTATAAAATTTCCTTTCAAATCTACAACATATTTTGTTTAATCAGTCATAACGCAAAGCAAACTCTATATCTTAAGTTATCTCCCATGCTAATCATGTTCAACTTCAGAGTTCACAAAAAACATATAAATATCCTTTTCTATGATCTTTACACTTTCTAAGTCAGCTAAAAAATTCCACCATTAATGACCTTCCTGATATAAAACGCCTGCTTAAAAACGGATAGGATAAGAACTCGATATAAAACAAAAGAAGAAAAAACAGCTCTTTAATAACCAAAATCCATAAAAGAACAAAATTGAAAACAACTAAACTTAAAAATCCAAACTTTAATATTGTGTTAAGAAGTAATGAAGGTAAAAACTACGAAAACACAACAAACCTGAGACATCATCCCTTCCACGAAGCCTCTGTAGAACCCTTTTGGCCTCCACCATTCGCCCTTTGCTTACAAGCCACCTTGGGGATTCAGGTAAGAAGAATACTGTTAAGGCCAAATACACTAAAGCAGGGATAGATAGAACTCCGAGCATCACTCTCCAGTTGGGATTCGCCATTAGAGACATCAAAAACACCATACAATATGATAGAAACATTCCTCCCGACCCACTAAATTGAGGAAGTGTATTTAGCTGGCCTCTTATCTCTGGTGGAGATGTCTCAGAAATATACACAGGGATAAGCGTAACAGCCAAGCCAACTCCAAACCCATCGATGAGCCTGGCCAGAAGCAAGGTGTAAACATTTGGAGACCAAAGCATCACAACACCACTAACAAAATAAAGAACTGAGGAAAGGATTAGCAAAGGGCGTCTGCCATGTCGATCTGAAACAGGTCCAGAGAATGTAGTAATAATAGTAGCCCCAATAAGCGACATGGCAACGATTAATCCTTCAATAGTAGGTTCTGTCTGCAACTTAAATTCCCTTTTGATGTAGATAACAGCTCCTGCATGGACATAAAGGAAGAGAATGAGAGTGTAAATTTTTAGCGTAAAGCAAAGAAATTATTTTTTCTTGCATAAAATATATTAAAAATTGCAAGGAATTCAAAAGTAATGAGTTACATCTTTGGTTGACAAAGATATTGAAAAAAAAAAATTTATACCAGCAATTGTGGCATTGTCCCAGCCCTGTAACAAGTTGCCTATAGTGGCAGCTATGGCTATAAGAACAGCTCCGTCCATCTTTCCGGTGAGGAATAGTTTGTTTGTCAGAAACAATAGCCGTCTGCAATACAATCACACGTTGGATGTCTTAGAATGAAAATAATTAAAAAAAAATCATGACGGCCAATTTAGCAGAATCAAAGGCGCTCAAAGAATAGAAGTCGCTCAAACTACGAAAAAAAAGGCAAATAATCCACTTACACTTCGGGCAGAATCAGGAAAGAGAATATCAATCAACAGAAGAATCAAAGACGGCGAGCATGGTGATCAGGACGAAACATAGCCATGGATGGACCTGAATAAGCTGTCCTATAGCCCCCGGAAAAAGCTGTCAATAACGATATAAAAAATAATCGCAGAACAAACAAAATTGAAAGAGAAAAATGAAGAACGCCATTAAATACGAGACATATGATGCCCAACCTCTAAAGCGACGCTTGTAACACTCCCTCCCCAGCCCCTCTTTCGGCAAGGAGAAACCCACCGTATAAGCACCAGAAATAGCCAGCAAAATACAAAAGATCGTCTTCTCTTGAATCAAACTTTACCAAGATGGCACTTTTTGATTGGAGAAAGCCAATAAAATTCAAATTGAACTACAAAATTATTCAGAACATCAGCTAAATGAGATCTCCAAGATCCTCTACTCTGTACGCCCACGAAACTTAAAGATGAGTGGAGATCGTGAGAACCATCCTTTTCTTTACCTAATTGCCGACCCCTCGACGCTACGGGATCTTCAGGGTTTCCTACCACAGGAAAGAGCCAAAACGGGAATAAAAAATAACCACAAAATCCGAAGCATAGCTGTAACCAATCTGTCAAAGCTTCAGCCTTCACATTCAGAAGATTCTATGTGATCCCTGCCCTTCTCCGATTGAGTCGGAATCCCTAGACATCTCCCGATTCCAAACTCCTATAAGAACCCACAGCTCACGAAAAAATAAAAAAACGAATCCAAGAAGAGAGAGAGAGAGAGAAGAGGAGAGAGAGAAGAGGAGAGAGAAAAGATGATGAATACACCTGCTGAACGCGCGCTTTGTTAACGTCTGTATGTTCCGTCGTGGACCAGAAAAAGCAACAAAAAGAGTATTTACCGTTTACCACCTCAGATTTCAGATATTTATGCAAGATCGTTTTATAATATTTATTATTTTTTAAAGACTAATCACTTAAATTTAAAAATTTTCATCTGATTTTTATTCACCATTATAATTAAATATATCAAATATATTTTTCTATCGTTAAAGCAGTGGCGGAATCACATCATGCTTAGGGGCGGCAATTGCCCCGCCTAAAAAAAAATTTATAGGAGAAAAAAAAATTTATAGGAGAAAAAAAATTTATAGGAGAGAAAAAAAATTTTGCTCCTCCTAAAAAATGACTTTTGCCCCCCCTGAAAACTCTTTTTTCCAAACTTGTCCTAAAATATCTATATATTTCTTCAAATATTTCGTGTTTTTCATGACAATTTAATTACACTTTTTTTCTTTATTTTTCTTGCTTAATTTTTTAAATAACTTATATATATAATTATTTTTGTATTGTACTTGCCTCCCCTCAAAATTGAAGCTGGTTTCGCCCCTGCGTTAAAGCATATTGAAATTATTAAATTGTGAAAAATTAATATTATTATAATGGGAGATAATAGTAAGGCAATGGACATAGAATCATAGTTAGACGATGATGATTATAGGATCGAAGTCAAATAATAATGGGTAAAAGACTCTAATTGGGTGATGTTGGTTGAATGAGCATAGTCAAACGAGGTGGTTGAAAAAATCTTTGCCATATGATAGTGGCTGTAGGATTATAATCAGTTGATGGTAGTCATATGAACATAATCGAGCAATAATGATCGGAAGACCTATGTAAGATGATGGTGGTTTGAAAAACATAATTAGATGATGGTGATCTGAAAAGCATAATTTGGCAATAGTAATCGAAGGATAGTAGCTAGTTAATTCTCAATGATGCACGGAGGACTCTAGTAGTGCTATTATGGTCCGAGGATCATACTCATGTCATGGTTGTCGAAGGATCATAATTGAAAAATAATTGATAGTGATCAAAGGAGGACTGTAGTTAAGTGAGGATAGTTGGAGGTCGAGTAGTAGCAATCCAACAACAATTGCTATGGTGGTCCAGCAATGGTGGTTGGATAATGATCAGGTGTAGTGGTTCAACATTAACAAATAGGTGGTGTGGTCTAATGATGACGTTCAGATGATTGTTTGGAGTTCATGGATTCTTCAAGCTTTTAAGGCCTCTTAAGCTCAAGTCAAAGCTCTCCCTCATATAGAGAGTATGAGTTTATTTATAATTTTTAAAAATGACATGCTACATAAATATAGCAAAAAATTGGAACAATCTATTAAACGGACTATATAGATTCAAAAATTTGGAGAATTTTGAAACTTTATGTCAGCCCCAAGATCTAAATAAGAATAATTATCTATTTTATCATTTAATCTATCAACTAGAGCTTATTTGAATTATCATATAAATCAATATATCCAACAGAAGCAAATCTATATGTCAGCCCCAAGATCTAAATAAGAATAATTATCTATTTTATCATTTAATCTATCAACTAGAGCTTATTTGAATTATCAATAAAAATCAATATATCCAACAGAAGCAAATATATATATATATATATATTCATTCCTCAAAATTATATTTACAATAGCCAAGAGATCATTGCATTCATAAATCTATCTCAAGCTCCTAACTACACAAAGAATTAAAAAAAATACAAAGCTAGCAAAAGGAGAAACGTAAAGATCTCAATCAACCTCACTCCTTAGAATCTTGACCTCTTCCCTAGCCCGAAATCAATAAATCACATAATAAAATTACAAAGCCCAATAGTACACAAAACGCACTAAAGCTTTTAATACATGGTTCAAGAATCAATATGCATGCTTCTCTCAATGAATATAATCAATAACTTTTAATATCATCATGATCAGTTATTAATAATACAAATGAATATGACCTATAATAAAAAGCATGAATCATTATGCTGAATTCTATAAATCAATAATAGACATGAGAACATAAATGCATCAGTAATCAATAAATCAAGATTGTAGGGAACAACGCATTGATACAATCATTCAATATTATCAGTCTGTCAGTGATCAGATGAATCAAGAACGTAGATGAGCCATATCAATACGATATGAATCAGAAGTGTTAATGTATGCCTAGTATAACCATCTATAATCTAGAAGTGTTAATGTATGCCTAGTATAACCATCTATAATCTATAAACCCATGTCATTTTATATGCATGAACATGAATAAGAAATGTATGAATTAGTTATATGTTATCAATATCATATAGTTTAGCAAGACAGGAACCCAACTTTAATGTGGTATTTTTAACGTCTTTAACCCAACTATTTCTCAGTTTATCATAAGTCTTATCTATCACACTTAATATTAGTTTATTTAGTAAATCAATTATCATTACATATGACTTTCAATAATTTATAAAGAGTAGTCACTATTTACACGTCGATATAATTCAGTTATCATTTAATATTACAATTAGGATTACACCACAATTTTTTTATTTTAAAGAAAATCTATTCGTCTAACAACTTACCTCCCTTTGCTTCATATTGACATCTCTAGTTGGAACTATTTAAACTGATTTAGGCTTTTCCTATTTTAGATATCACACGTAAACAATTCTATCATTTGTTCTTCTGTTTAATTGCTTGATCAAGACTCTCTCTCTCTCTCTCTTGCCTTGACTCTTCTTACATAAAACTCCAAATAATAAATCAACTCATTTTTATTTAGTGCATTTTGGAACATCATAATGAGTAAAAAAAAAGAGATTAAACCATAATGCAATCACATAGTTTTCTTAAATTATATAAACTCTCAATTTTCTATAACTTGAATGATTTAATCATTCCAACGAGCTAAAAATTAATTTTGGAAAGAGAAAGGCTATGATATTCTAACTCATGACTCAAAATATTGTTGATAAGTTAACACTAAAAAATTAAATATTAAAAAAATTATAATATTTTCATATGAATATGTATTTTTTTTTTTTCAATTAAATATGGGAATTCATAAAAAAAAAGATTAATAAAAGAATTGCTTTCCAAAATAGTTTTTTCAGTACAAAAAGTTCTAATTAACAAATTTTTATGTTAAAAAGCATTACAAAAGCTATTTCAAACGAAATCTTAGGCTTCATTTTTATATGATTATGTATTTTTTTCAAATAAATATGGGAATTGATAAGAAAAAAAAGATTAATAATTCCTTTATTGTTTTCTAAAATAGCTTTTCAGTACAAAAAGTTTTAATCAATAAATTTTTATGTTAACAAAAGCTATTTCAAACGAAGTCTTAGGCTTCATTTGTGAGAGTGTTTTCCTATTTTCTAAAATAGCTTTTTTATAATAAAATTTATTTTTCAAAAAAAGTTTACACTAGAAAATAGTTTTAAAAGACAACAAAAAATACGTCCCAAATAAAGTCCGTGTTAGGGCATCTTCAACTCAAAAAATCAATTTTCCACTCCAAAATGCAATAAAACTTCAAAATGGAGTAATTCATCTCCAATCGAACTCCATTTCATCTCCTCTTTTGTGCACTTCTTCATCTCGCTGTAAAGGAACCGTCTTTCTTCTTTTTTTTTTCGTGTGCTTCTTCCACAAATCCCATAAGCCAATTTTTTTGGAGTAGGTGAACAGTGCAACGTCAATATTGCAGACAATTTTACAATTGATTGAATCGTTTGGCGGACGGCATACACTTGTTTATCATTCGCTTGCGGATTGTCTTAGCATATTGGATCTAATTATGTCATAGAATCTTTTGCCATTCAATTATTCAATAAATTAGTTTAGGGGAACTTTTCGGGTTTAATAGTTTCTCTTAAAATACAGTCCATTAAAAGCTTTTCAACTATGGTGTACTTTGTAAAAAGCACTTATGACTAACTAATCATTCAATTAAAAGTATTTTAAATTAAAAATGATTATATTTATCAGTAATGAATTTAAATTAAGATTTGATTAGTACAATTGAATCCAATGATGTGATAGAATCGCATTAAAAGCTTTTCAACTCTATTGCTTACTTATAGAGAGCACATTAAAAATGATTGAATATTCTTGCATTTACGAGTTACTAATCATTCAATTAAATATCTTTTAGATTGAAAAAAAATAGTCACACAATATATTCAAATATGATTAAATAGATTGAAAAAAAATATTCACATAATAGATTGAAAAAAAAAAAGTCAAATATGATTATTTAATAAATAAATTAGTTCAAATATGCATATTGTAGTTAATTAATTTATATCATGACAATTGTGTGTTTCATATCAACTATGCATGTTATGTTGCTATCTATGCATGCCATGTTAATTGTATATGCATGTATATCATTATGCTAGATCTTAATACAATAGTCATATATCAATTTCGTATGCATATTATCTCTTTTATTTTTAAGAGTATGTATCAATAACAAGGATATATGGTGAAATGTCAGTTTGACCATGTTTGAATGTGCAAAATGACAGCCTTTATAATATAATAAAAGTTAAATGATAAAAATTTGCTAAAAATAAAAATATCACATATTTTATCTATTCGGATTAAATCAAAACTTAGAAATCATGCACAATTCAAAACCACTAAAAATAGACGTAGGGCAACGATCACCTTTGTGGAGAGGAATACTTTTCCTAATATGATCAACAGACAAAACCAGCTGTACGGGCTTGAACTCCTCTTCCTCTCTCTTCTTCCCCTTTTATGTCCCATTCTTCTTCTCTTCTCTACCAACCAAATGATATGGTATGGGGTTAGGGGAAGTGGCATTAGATATTTTTATAAAAATTATAGAAAGTGACTAGTGTCACTATGCTCTCAAGAATTCACATTCTCTAGAAATTTATCCTAACTCGAGACTTTAGCGTCACAACTTGAGCGCTGCAATGCCACAACTACCCTAAGGACTTTAATTTTTCTTCTTT